CTCTTTTTTCCTCTCTTTTTTCCTCTCTTGTAACCAGCACAGACCATTTTCATTGTCACTATTGGATTGAAATTATAGTGGTTTCGATCATTGCAGATGTGTCTTGCAATGACAGTGACATTAACTTCACGGAGGACATCTGATGGAGTTTTTTTTCCAAGCTCAGTAATCCCCCAGCCAGCTACCAGACACTGTGTTCCTTCCTCAACGTCACCATACTCCCGAGGAAGCTTGACGATGGCAACATTCCTGTTAAGTTGTGCTTTTTCGTTAAGCTTAAATGAGAAAAGAGGGAAGACAAAAAAGATTAACCTTTACATTAACAGTCAATATGGTGTGCAATGCATAATATGTTAGACTTGCACCTTGGATCCTATCTCAGCCAGACCTACATTACAATATTGTGCAGACGCAATGTGTCTGAGAAGCAACATTTATACCATCTGAGCCCCTTGCAATAAAAACAAACTATAATAGTAACAAGAATAATACTTTGAACTTCTTCAATATGGGCAATTTCACACCTGCTATTCATTTATATAGAAATAAGAATTCTTCCCTCCTGCTCTCCATCTCGGAAATGAAAGGGAAAAGCATTTTTTCCAACACATAAATGTGAGAATATTCTTTATTCCATTGCTGCCATCATCAGTGGTGGTTCCTAGGCCAATGAAATGGGGCTCAAATGTTAGGCTCTTCATATAGGCTGCTTGTCAGCCCTTTGAGGTAGGCCAGATCAACAACATGAGCCGATAATTGTTTCTTTTACTCCCCCTCCCTTGTCAACGCTACAGCTAAATCCTTTGTACATTGCTTTCTGCAAAGGTATTTATAGCTGGGTCAGGGCTGCCTCCATCCATTCCCTAGGAAAGAAAAACCCTTGGCTCCAGAGAGTCAGAGAAAAGGTACCCTTATCATGAGAGAACTGAATGCGACAAGTTTCAGGCAAGATCTGAGGCCAAAGCAGACGAAGCAGGAAATAAAACAAATTGTAGAGCACAACCCCCTTGTAGCTAGGCAACTCTGGCTCTTCATACCTAAGTTAGAAGAAATGGCCTTGGAGAGATAAGCAAAGCCCAGACCGTAATTGCAAAGCTGTAATGGAAAATTCTCCACCGACCCCACCCCCATGGCAGCTAGCAGCAGGGTAGCTGACATTCGGGCCCTCATAACAGAAGTATTAGCTATAGATATAAAATTTATACAATTAAAACAAACAACATATTTCAACAATGATCTTAATGATCTCAATGAAGCATGAAGCAAAAAAAGTGATAAAATTCAGCATGAGTTATTTAACAACCACCTCGCTTATCAATGGAAGTTCCAGTCCCAAATGTAGTTATAAGTTAAGGACTCCCTGTACCCATAAAGAAAAGGAGAAACCATTCTTGCTGTCCTTCACATGTATATTATTTATGTGTATCCTTTAGAATATACCTGAAGAAGCATAATATCATTCTGCTTTTTGACCCTATCAAAGTCCGGGTGAGAAATTTTCTTATTAACTTTGAAAACTTGTTTTGTTGTGTCGTTTTCTGAATGAATTCCAAGAATAACTTCAGTTTTGTTTGTTCTAAAAAGCAAAGAGGGTAAATAAGAATTGAGTAAAGTTCATTTCTAGCAAGGATAATACGTTATAATTTCAGCTGAAGAATATTAAGTTTTAGCATTTGGCAGTTCAATCTTCTGTGTTTCTTCAGAAGTAAATTCTACTGTATTTAACTGTTTATATCAGAATTATTCTTATTGGGTTTTATGATCATGGAATTAGAAAAGAAGTATGAGAAACCAATATTGCATATATGATGAGATTATCGCATGCAAAAGGTTGGGAAAGTAATGAAATATCTATGATGGAACATTGGATTATAACATTAACTGAACTTGAAAAAATAGCAAAGTCTTTTCAGTCTGGATTCAGGAAAAGAAAAATAATTCTTTTGAAAAACTAGTAACTTTACATAGAGAAGAAAGAAGAAAAGATTAAATTGATGATTTTTTTCATTTGGGAATTAAAAAGTGTCAAAGAGAATAGTGAAAATAATAAAGTGATAATTACTTAATAGAAAGAATGTGTGTGTGTGTGTGTGTGTGTGTGTGTTTGTGTGTGTGTTTATTTATTTATTTATTTATTTCCAAACTTACATTATGCAGTGAGCTGCTGTTAATACCCAGTTTGGTTTGATCAGGGTCCCCCCACAAAGGCGCCCCTTTGAGCCTTTGATCTTGGCCATAAAAGGTCTTGAATGTGGAACTGATACTTTTCCTCCAATTATCTGAGCACAGTGATCTAAACAGAATGAAGAAGACAAGCTAATCATGAGTCACAAAATACAACTTTAAATTAATCAATTAGCTAAAGAGGAAAAAGGAACCAACAAAACATGTAAATATTTCATCATACAAAGTGCTCACAGTTTGTGTTATGGTCGTGTATCATCAACCGATCAAAGCAGTCTTGCTTTTTTGCACTTATTAATACATTTCACACATTTCATACATTT